TGGAGGTCAAAGGCCGATGTACGATGCATTTTTTGCAAAAGGACGGTGTGATGGGGTCAATCCAAGATGTTTATTACGTACTAGACCTCAAGAGCAACATATTGAGTATGGGGCAACTCACAGAGAAAGGTTACTCGATATTCTTAAAGGACTGCCAACTACACCTAAAGGATAAGTAAGGGCGTTTGGTTGCTCGAGTCGAGATAGAAAGAAATCGAATGTATAAACTGAATTTAAAAAGCATACGAGAAAAGTGTTTGCGAGTCAACGTAGAAGACAAGGCATCCTGTTGCATCTCCGCTTTGGTCACCTACATCATGGCAGCCTAAAGGTGTTAGCAAAGAAGAATATGGTGCATGAGCTACCAAACATGGACTTTGATGTGAAGAATGTGTGCTCAGCAAGCATGCGAGAACCTCAATTCAAAAGAAGGTTGAATTTTGTGCTAAACAACCTTTCAAGTTGATCCATACACATATATGTGTACCAATTACACCCGAGTCTTTCAGCGGAAGGAGGTATTTCATTTCCTTTATCGATGATTACTCACGGCAAACTTGGGCTTACTTTCTGAAAGAAAAATTCGAGGCATTCGAGGTGTTCAAAAGGTTTAAAGTGATGGTGGAGAAGGCAACTCATAGACACATTAAAGCTATACGATCCGATAGAGGTGGCGAGTATACTTCAACGGCTTTCATGGAGTATTGCGAGGAGCAAGGCATAAAGCGATTTCTAACCGCACCGTACACCCCTCAACAAAATGATGTGGCGGAGAGAAAGAACCGGACCATTCTCGACATGGTTCGATCAATGCCCAAGAGCAAAAGGATGCCAAAGGATCTTTGGGCAGAAGCCGAGCAATGCGCCATCTACGTACAAAATCGATGTCCACATGCGAAGTTAGATGATCAAACACCACAAGAGGCTTGGAGCGGACAAAAGCCTACAATCTCTCATCTCAAAGTGTTCGGTAGTGTGGCTTATGCTAACGTACCGAATCAACAAAGAACAAAGCTCGAAGATAAAAGCAAAAGGTATATTTTTATTGGATATGATGAGAAGACAAAAGGATACAAGCTACTTGACCCGATAAGCAAGATGGTGATAGTGAGTCGTGATGTGCGAGTAAATGAAGCAAGCGAATGGGATTGGAACAATTTGACGGAAGTCAATATCGAGGTTGGAGAATCATGAGTTGTTGCACCAACAGACTCAGAAATTTTCGATGATGAAGATGAACCACGACAACCCAAAATGCGAAATTTGCAAGACTTGTATGATTCAACAAATGAAGGTACACCTTGTATGTCTTTTGGCAGATGCTAAAAATATCAGCTTTGAAGAGGCGGTGTGAGACAAGAAGTGGCAAACTGTCATGGATGAGGAGATTAAAGCGATTCATCACAACAATACATAAGAGGTGACAGAATTTTCGAAAGAAAGTCAGCTCATAGGTGTGAAGTGGATATTCAAGAAAAAGATGAATGCTCAAGGCAAGATAGAGCGATACAAGGTGCGACTTGTTGCGAAGGGATATAAGCAAAAGGAGGGAATCAAATATGACGAAGTGTTTGCTCCCGTCGCAAGAATGGAGACAATCTGACTTTTTAAATGGATGTCAAGTTGGCATTCTTGAATGGTGTGCTTGAAGAAGAAGTCTACCTCGAACAACTACCCGGGTACATGAAGATTGGAGAAGAGAAGAAGGTACTAAAATTGAAGAAGGCACTTTATGGGTTGAAGCAAGCACCGCGAGCATGGAATTCTCATATCGATACATACTTCAAGGAGAACAGGTACAAGCAATGACCCCACGAGCCTGCACTTTACACAAAGAAGAGTAGAGATAATGTGATACTTATCGCTCTTTATGTCAATGGCATCATCTTTTCAAGCAACAATGATAAAATGATAGAAGAGTTCAAAAGCACAATGACACAAGAACTTGAGATGACAAACTTGGGTTTGTTTAAGTTTTTCCTTGGTTTGGAGGTTAAACAAGGAGAGACGGGTATTTTTATATCACAACAGAAATATGCAAAGGAGATTTTGAAGAAGTACAAGATGGAAAATTGCAACCCGGTATCAACACCAATGGAACCAGGTGCAAAACTCTCAAAGTACGACGAAGGAGAACGAGAGTGTCGACATTATAAGCTGGTTCATGGAGGAGCTGATTTATTCACATTGGAAAGCGTTGAAGCGAATACTACGGTACATCCAAGGAACAGTGTCACTTGGGTTATTCTACTCAAAAACAGAAGATTACAAATTAGTTGGTTACTCTGACAATGATTGGTGCGGAGACATAGACGATCGTAAAAGTACATCAGGTTATGTATTCTTCATGGGCAACACAGGATTTACTTGGCTTTCAAAGAAACAACCGATCGTGACACTCTCGACGTGTGAAGTTGAGTATGTGGCAGCATTTTGGTATGTGTGTCACGTGATATGGCTTAGAAATTTGTTGAGCAAGATGGAGCCAAATCAACAAGGTGCAACCGTGATTCAAGTTGACAACAAATCAGCAATTGAGTTGGCAAAGAACCCAGTGAACTATGAAAGAAGCAAACACATTGACGTTCAATTTCACTTTATCCGAGATCATGTGAAGGAAGGAAGCGTGGAATTGATGCATGTGGCAAGTCAGGATCAAGTTGCGGACATCTTTACAAAACTGCTACCAAAAGTACTTTTCGACAAATACAAGAAGATGATTGGCATGACAAATGGTAGAAGCATTTATGTTTATGGGCGAGTTTTGTTGAAATAAACTTAAAATGCCGGCAGTTAGTTTGTTAGATTAGAAAAGTTTATTTGAAAAAGTCAAGTGAAACAAAAGGCCGAGAGTTTAGGGAATGATGCTACTGGTTTATTAGCCTTTCTCTCACCCTATTATTAATGTTAGAAAAGGTATAAATACCTGATCCTTTTCGTGTAAAACCAGAGTAAAAGAGCAAAAAAGAGAGAGAAAAGAAATACAAAGCCACAGAAAAGGCTTTTGGTGTAATGAGTATTCTTTGTCTCCTTGTCTCTTCTCTCTCGACATCTCCTTCACAAGTAAGCGAGTAGTACTTTTCACAAGCAGTATCGGAGCGTTCTATCGTTAGTATGTGTGAGATTACTTCATAGATTAGTGAGTCTTACTTTAACAGTAGTCAGGTGGACGATTCACATTTTGAATCGATCATCCACTCTTGCAGTAAAAGACATGATACTAGAAGATACTTGGAACTGAGTGAAACCGTCAGTAGATTATTTCAGAGTTTTTAGATGTGTGAGACATGTTCATATTTCAGATGTTCAGAGAAGCAACCTTGAAGATAAAAGTGTAACATGTGCTTTATTTGGAGTCAGCAACGAATCCAAATGCTACAGAATGTTTGATCCAACTACAAATAAAATTATAGTAAGTCGTAATGTAGCTTTCGAGGAAGATCGTGAATGGGATTGGAAATTTTTTGAAGGTGAAACAAAATTGGACTGGGAAAAATATTGAAATTGATGAGAACACAGTCGAAGAAGGGGAAATTACGGAGGAAACGACTGTACTGGTTGTTGAAACAATTGAACTAGTTGCTGAAAATGAAGAAGGGGAAATCACGGAAGAAAAGGCAAAACTGGTTGCTGAAACAAATGAACTAGTTGCTGAAAACAATTTTCCAGAAATTGAGGCTTATCTGAACTGGATGAAGAAAATATGTATTCTTGATGATTTTAGATCCCATAAATTTTGAGGAAGTTGTCAAAAACCCAAAATGGAGATTGGCTATGGAGGAAGAAATCAAATCCATTGAAAGAAATTAAATCCATTGAAAAAAATCAAACATGGAACTTGGTGGTTCTACCGGATGGAGCAAAGAAAATAAGAGTGAAATGGATTTATAAGACCAAGCTAAATGAGTCTGAAGAAGTTGATAAATACAGAGCAAGATTGGTTGTAAAAGGCTACACACAAGAGCATGGAATTGATTATACGGAAGTATTCGCACCTATGGCCAAATGGATACTGTGAAAATGTCCATTGCTTTTGCCGCCAAAAAAAGATTGGAAACTCTATCAGTTTGTTAAACAACCAAAAGGCTATGAGAAAAAGGAAAGTGAGAAGATAGTGTACAAACTTCAAAAGGCTTTCTACGGAAAACAAACTCCTAGAACCTGGTTTAGTGGAATAGAATCCTACTCCATCAAGGAAGGATTCAAAATTAGTTCCAGTGAGCAGACACTCTTCATCAAGAGAAAGGGAGGTAAAATTCTTATTGTAACCATTTATGTTGATGATCTTTTATTTTCTAGAGACGATGAAGAATTATTGGAGGAATTTAAACGTTCGATGAAGAAAAAGTTTGATATGACTAATTTAGGTTAGATGAGATTTTTTCTTAGAATAGGGGTAATACAAAAATTAGATGGTATTTTTATATGTCAAAGAAAGTATGCGGCTTAAGTTTTAAATTGATCTGGTATAGAGAATTACACTTTTGTTTGTAATCCCATTGTTCCATGACAGAAAATTGGTAAAGATGAAAATGGTGCAAAAGTAGATGTAACTTTATATAAACAAATAGTGAGATCTTTGATGTTTCTCATAGCTACTCGTCCTGATGTCATGTTTGTTGTAAGTTTGATTAGTCGTTTTATGGCATGTCCAACACAACAACATTTTGTAACAGCTAAAAGGGTTTTAAGGTACTTGAAAGGTACGGTAGATTATGATGTATTGTATAGAAAGGGAGGAGTTAGTGATTTAATTGAATGTACTGATATGACTATGCCAGAGACATGGAAGATAGCAAGAGTACTTCAAGCTATGTGTTTATGATGAGTGGAGGAGCAGTAGTTTGGTCTTCTCATAAACAACCTATAGTCACCTTATCAACCATAGAAGCTGAGTTTGTTACTGCTAGTGTCTGTGCATATTAAGCTGTTTGGCTGAAGAGGATACTCAAAGAGATTGGTCACTCTCAAATAGAATGAACAAAGCTAATGTGTGATAATAACTATTAAGCTATCCAAAAATTCAGTTCTACATGGACATTCCAAACACATAAGAGTTTTTAGTTAATTTATTATTTTGTGGTACCCAAAATCAACTTGCTGATTTGTTGACAAAGCCACTAAAATTAGAAGCATTTCAAAAGTTGCATGAAGAATTAGGTGTTTAGAGTTTTTTGTACTTAAATTAATTCTTGACAAAGAAGAATAAGTTAAGGGAGGAATTGTTAGAAGAATTTGATTATGTCAAAAATAGTTAAATAAAAATGATTTCTTTTGGAAAGTTACCTTATTCTTAGGTATTTAGTTTAACTATTTTGCAATATTTGTGGTTAGTAAGCCAAATTGAGTATTCAATAATATCCTCACTTGAAACTACAATCGTTTATGTTTCTGGCTTAGTTATTCTTCTACCAAAACTTAAATGGTCATCCCTTCGATCTTGCAAAAATAATCTGCAACAGACAGATCGCGTTTTTTTGGACATGGCGAGCTCAACACGGATCTGAATAGTGCGAGCACGAGTTGACGACGAAAACATCCGCTAGAGGGTATTCCACGCCTCCTTGGACGTAGTAGCAGCAACCACATCGCAAAGAATCTCCTCATACATGGAGGAGAGAAGACCGTTAAAGACCTGTTTATCCTAATCATACCACCAATCATAGACCGGATTAAAGACTAGGTCAGCACCAGCAGTAATTGAGAAAGGGTCCAGCTTGGTAGGTGCGTCAATGGTGCTATCGAGGTACCCATAAGTTTCATACTCTGTAAGTGTGGGAGGAGCTGGGCGCGCCATATGATGAAATTGTTCTTGATGAGATGGATTGTGACAGCGTAGCGGAGAGGATTGGGGCAAAGGTCGACGTCATGGTAAATGAGATCTTGTTGAAGATGGTGGATGGGGAGGTGGAGGAAGAAGAAGAAGATATGGTAGACATTGTTAATGAATATACCTTGGCTCAAATACCATATATATATATATATAGTAGATGTGTACAATGAAGATTACATGCGTGGGTCTTGATACACGTTAACAAACCAAGAGACAGAAGCTTCAAGAATAGAGGATTCTCCTACTATGTATAGATATAACCTTCTACGTTTAACAATGTGATACCCTTACATTTCAAGTAAAGGTAAGACAGCTCCTTTGAATCTAAAGTGGGTCCATGAGTAGCTAAGGAGCTTAAACTTCAAATTCACCCTAGATGCTTAGAAGGTCCAAATTAAAGTTTGTGTGGATACCTAATGGATTAAGGAGAAAATTCACCCATTTTCCTTTTTTTTTTTTTTTTCAAGTGTTCACAGTATCCTAGTCGAGGTAGAGGAGCATTCGAGAGCTGTGTGGACACAGAGGAGACTATTCTGGAGCAGTAGTTCGTCTTTATATTTTGAGTCTTTTGTATTTAGCTTTGTAATCGTATCCCAAATTATTTCTCCAATTTAAATAACATCACCTTATATTTAGATTTTATTTTCTATTTAATTTCACCGATCTTTATTTTAATTTAAATTTCATCAGATTTTCATCATTTAGTCTTTGTTTTTTTTTTTTAGTCACGGAAATCTCCTCCTCTCGAATATCTATCTTTTTTAGTATGTTCGTGATTTTTTTTTTTTTGTTGTTGCGAATTTCATGATTCGTAAGGCAATTATTCTATTTTATGTTCGTTTTTATTTTATTTTATTTTATTTTTTGGTGTTTTAATTAGCAAAAATGTAATAAACTTTTTAAATAATTTGTTTTTATAAAAAGTTCATATTTTTCAAAAAAAATTATGATAACCTTACCCAAGTAGACATCTTTAGAAGTTTTTTTTTAATAATATCTTATAAAAGGATGAAGATAAGCCTGATTAAAAGTAAACATTCTTCGATGCTTTACGTAATGTATTGTGACATCTGAGTAAATGAGCCGTATATGAATGAATTAAAGACGATGTTCTAATGAGAGGAGTCCTTTAAAGTAAATGAAAGTTACTGGCTATACGAACAAGGTGCACCTTCATTTTCGGTAGTTCAATCATAGGAACTCCATAATTAAGCGTATTTTGCTTAGAGTAATTCTATGTTGGTTGACCTCTTGAAAATTTTTCTAAGATGCATTTGAGTGAAAATAAAATATACTCGGATGCAGAGTTCATAAGATAAGGAATAATAAAATAATAATTATAATAAAAAGAACACATTCCAAAATCACTATCTTTGTTCTTATTCCTATACCAAAAGTGACTCCAAAGGGACTTATCAATAACAAAACTACAACAAAATCCCCCTTGATGTTGGCTATAAATACAAAACCCATTTGGCCTAACATTTCTATATAATCAACCAAAGCATTCAACAAAATGTCTGGTATTATCTTCCTAGTAAAATTGTTTTAAAATCTGTTCAAATTAAATATGAATGGTTTTTCATTTGCTTTTCTTCATCTTCTTATTTATTTATCTTCGCGATAATTTTTCTCGTTATGGAATCACGTGAATAGTTTGATTGCTGTGTATTAACAAAGTTAACAAGAATATGTGTTTTGAATAGGAAAAAATGCTATATGAATATGAAATCCAAACAATGCTAGATCTTTGTACGAGCGATCACCTTTGTCAACATATCAGCAGGGTTATCAGCCGTTTTAATTTTTAATAAACGAATGTCCCCTTCACTCATAATTTCTCGAATAAAGTGAAAACAGACATCAATATGTTTAGTACGAGCATGATGAACTTGATTTTTTGACAAACAAATAGCACTTTGACTATCACAAAACACATCTATATGTTCCTGCAAAATACTCAAGTCATTGATCAAACCATGCATCCAAATAGCTTCTTTACAAGCTTCCATAACTGCCATATACTCTACTTCGGTGGTAGACAATACAACAGCAGAGTGCAATGTTGAACGCCAACAAACAGGTCCATCAGCCATAGTAAATAAATAACCCGTAGTAGATCGTCGCTTATCCAAATCACCAGCATAATCAGAATCCACATAACCAACTACAAGGTTGTTAAGATTAAACATTTCTTGTTTTTGAAACTTAATACCAACATCAATAGTACCAAGAATGTACCTAAGAATCCATTTGACAGCCTGCCAATGCTCTTTACCAAGATTATGCATATAACGACTCACCATGCTTACTACCTGTGAAAGATCAGATCGAGTACATACCATAGCATACATCAAAGCACCAACAACATTTGTATAAGAAATATTCTCCATATACCTTTTGACATCGTCATAACTTGGACACATGGAAGCACTAAGCTTGAAATGAGGAGCAAGTGGAGTACCAGGTTTGGTTGAATTATTCAAACTAAATCTTGTCAATACCTTGTGTAGATATTGAGACTGAGTCAACTAGACTGTACCTTTTTTCCGATCTCGCTCTATCTTCATTCCAAGTATTTTCTTTACATTGCCTAAGTCTTTCATTTCATTTCAAATGTCTTTCATTTCCACCTATCTCTTTGAAGCAATTAACATATTATCAACATATAAGAGCAAATAGATAAACGATCCATCATCAAGATACTGATAATACACACAATGATCAAATTGACTATGAGTATACATATGCTCTACTATGAAATGATCAAACTTTTTATACTATTGGTGAGGAGATTGCTTCAGCCAGATTTCTTCAATCTGCATACCAAATGTTGCTATCCAACTACTCGAAAACTAATCGGTTGCGCCATATATATTTCTTCTTCCAAATCTCCATGCAAAAAAGCAGTTTTTACATCGAGTTGTACAAGCTCAAGATTAAATTGAGCAACCAAAGCCAACAAAATTCGAATGGAAGAATGTTTTACCACAAGTGAGAAAATTTCATTGTAATCAATACCTTCTTTTTGTGCATAGCCTTTAGCCACAAGTCGAGACTTATAACGTATACTAGAAGAATCTTCTTTTTTTTGCAAAAACTCATTTACAACCAATTTCCTTCTTACCTTTTGGAAGTTGTACCAAATCCCAAGTTTGATTTATCTCCAATGATGCTATCTCCTGATTCACAGCCTCTTGCCAGTGCAATCTATCCGGGCTCTGGATAGCATCTTTGTAGTTGTTGGGAACTCCATCAATCAAAGGGAAAGCGTATGCTATTGTATCATCAAACCTTTCAAGTTTTCGAATTTTCCTTCGTGGTCTATTTCTGGTGATTGACTCAGGTTCCTCTACTCTTTCATTTACAAGGTTTTGTTCCTCCTATTCTAAGACATCAGAGTTATTATCTACCTGATCAATAGGTTCTTCAGTAGGAGCAACCATATCAGGAGAGAACACCACCTTCTCCACTTACTTCAATGTCTCGTCATTATTTTCAATTTTTTGCAAAAACATTTCAGACTCATCGAATGTCACATCTCGACTATTAACAATCTTACTTGTTTCTGGACACCATAACTTATAGCCCTTCACGCCTTTGCTAAAGCCCATAAACTTGTCTTTTTTTGCTGTAGGATCCAGATTTAAGTCTGTCACATGATAATAAGCAGGACACCCAAACACATGCAATTTATCATAATCACTAACAGGAGTACCCAACCATACCTCAAGCGGAGTTTTCCCACCATTTCCAGAAATAGGTAAACGATTCACCAAGTAAACTGCATAACTGAGAGCCTCAGCCCAAAATGCATTACTCAATCCTACTTGAGACAATATGCATCGAACCTTCTCTATTAATGTTTGGTTCATTCTCTCAGCAACTCCATTTTGTTGTGGCTTACCAGGAACAGTGAAGTGTTGAACGATCTCTTCATCTCGACATACTCTAAGGAATGGATCATAAGTATATTCTCCACCGTTGTCTATCTCAACTTTTTGATTTTCCTGTCCGTCTGATTCTCTACCATTTTCTTCCACTCTAGGAAGATTTGGAGAACCTTGTTTTTGTGCCTCATGGGATACATCCAAACTCTCCTCGAGTAGTCATCAATAAAGGTGACAAACTACATCTTTCCTCCCAATGAGACATTCTTCGTGGGATTGTGAACATAATTCAAAATGCCCTTTGTTTGGTGTATAGATGTACCAAACTTCACATTTTTTTGTTTACCAAATATACAATGTTCATAGAAATCAATTTTACCAATTGTGGCACCCTTAAGGACTCCTTGGTTCACCAATGTTTGAAGCGCTTTCTCATCAGCATGCCCAAGTCTCATGTGCCATAATTTCGATATGTCTTGTTCTTTCGAACTTGCCACAACAGCATGCCCAAATATTGTGGTTCCGTTGAGGTAGTATATGCTACCTCTTCTAGTTCCTTTAATTGCCACCAAAGCTCCACGAGCTACTTTCAAATTACCTCCTTCCAAAATGATGTGATAACCACTCGCATAGAAAACGCTGAGGGAAATCAACTTTTTCTTCAAGTTAGGGACATACCTCACATCATTGAGTTTTCGTATAACCCCATCAGACATCTTGATTTGTACTGAGGTCATTCTCATCATCTTGCAAGTACTATCATTGCCCATATAGACAACTCCACCATTGAACTCTTTGAAGTCCAAAAACATCTCTCTATTGGGACACATATGATAGGAGCACCCAGAATCAAGAATCCATTCACTGGTTTGGCTTACTGACCCGTGCCTGTGATTACTTGAAAAAAAGGAGGGAGGGGTAAGTATAAAAACTTTAATCGAACTCTAAAAAGTTTTGACCTAGTTCAGGAACCCTCTAACTCCTACCACACTCTATAATGGCGCCTATCATAACTTAACTATTTATGCACTCCCTTGTCTTCTGTTGGAGCAGGTTTATTCCATACACAATAAGAGCTCCTCTATATACTACTTATGTCGTCCATCGCCCCCTCTCAAGGTGAGCTTTTTGTTCTACACACTAAGTATATCCTCAATTAACTACTTGTGTAAGCCCTTGTTCCCTCTTAAGGCGAGTTATTATACACACCATAGCGGTTTATCATGTTATTTACTTATATGGTTCCTCGCCCTCTATCAAGGCAGGTTTATTCTACACTCAGTGGTGGTTCTTCATGTTACCTACTCATATAGTCCCTCTCCCCTCTTAAGGCGAGTTTACAGGTCTTGACTCGTTTCTATAGATATTGGTAATTCCTCACATCGCCTACTCATGTAATACCTCATCTTTTCTCAAAGCAGGTTTACGGATCTTTAGTATCAGTTGGTTCCTCTTTCCATTTCAAGGAATCTAAATATTTTGTCATTACTAATGCAATATTCTAGCATAGAGATAATATGAGCTCTAACTTTTTTCAACATCTTATTTATGTAATCGATAGGGTGTAACACTTTTCAAAATCACTTGCATCACACATTAACTCAAAGGGTGAGTTCCAATCAAGAAATGATATTATAGTTGTTGTCGTTAAATGTTCTGTTTACGTCAAGAATGTTGTAATGCAGTGCTCATTGAAAATGAAATTTTTGTTTAATTCTAAAAGAATCCTAAAATGCTTCTTATTTACTAATCCACATTCCATAAGGGATTTTATAGTATTTTTTGTTGTCAGTCTATAAATCCACATCGTGATCTGGGTCTATAAATGATCTATAGTTAATGAAGAAAATTTGATTAATTAAAAAATTTAATTAATTAATTTTATATCATTAGAACGTTTGGTGAGTTAGTTTTACAAAGTTCCTATAAATAGGACGGTTGAGTCAAAATGAACTACTTTTTCTTTTAGAATAGAAGATTCTATGGACTTCTCACTCTAAAATGGTTCAAAGATTTTCTTTCAAGAGACTCACCAAGTTCCCGACCTTGTGGATGAAGTTCAATAGCTAGGAAGCTAGAAGAAGTTCTAGACCCTGTGGAAGCAGTTTCATACTAACAAACTTACCAACTATAATATCTACAAAGGTAGGATTGATTCGTATTCAATTTACATGTTTTCTACAATGGTCTCAACGGTGTATATATATATATATATATATATATATATGTGTGTGTGTGTATGTATGCGTGCATGTATGTATGTGTATGGGGTTCGAAAATTCTATTTTCATTCTTACATTTACCATAAGTGGGTTAAATACGGAATCTCGAGTATCGACTAAAAAGTAAGATGATCAAATCCTTTGATTAATCGGGTCGGGGAGTATTAAAAACAAAAAGTTAAAAGAATAAAAAAAATGATGAAATAGTATAGAAACAAAAATTCTTAGGTTGGATCCCACCAGGAGAGGGAGAAACATGTCGTAAAATTGGTTGTAATAATGGGTCATATAAATGGACCCACAACTAACATAAATACTCATTCTTCTTTGCCCTCTTCATTTCAAACTATTTAATTATTCTATTTTATATATATATAAAATGCTCATAATTTTACTTTTATAAAAATTAAATAAAAAAAATCCGTAGATTGGATTTAATTCAACTGTGGTTGATTTTAAAAATTATACAATTATATATACATATACTTATTTTATTTTTATTTTAAAAATTAATATTTTATTCTTATTAAAAACAATGTAAATAAATGATTCAAACAAATTGAACGATATTTTAATTAATATTATGGACTAAATTTTTTTTATACATTATTATTATTATTATTATTATTTATAACTGTGAATTTTGGCTCAAGTTTCTCTAAAAATTACATTTTAATTTTTTTAGTTTCAAAATTATTTTAAATGTCGGTAAAAATTAAAAGTAGAGATAATTAAGATATGTTGTTATTTATTTTAATTTTAAAAATATTGTTCACAAAATTAATTTTTATAAATAAATTGTCACATCTGGTATTATAATTTATGAGGTATTAATAAAAAAAAATATTTTTTAAATAAAATATTATTGTATTGAAACTTTTAAAATTTTAGTCATTAAGGATTTATTTTTTATTATTAATTTAGTTTTAAAAAATATATTAAAAAAAAAAACTGTAAATGGTTAGCTAAAAGTCAATTGATAATGAATTTTTGGCGCCAGTTTATTGATTGCTAAAATCAAATTTATTTATTACCATCACTTTTGAAATATTGGTTTTAAAAAAAAGTCAAAAGTATGTTTCTTTTGTTCATATTAAAAAAAAAAAAAAAGTAATAAATAAGCTTAACTGTAAAACAATTATTTTTAAAATTAGATTCAAAATACTCTTTTTTTTTTCTTTTAAATTTTAAGTTTAAATCATTATATAGTTAAATCATTCCATATAAAAGTCCAAATTAACAGTAATTTACTTCTTTAAAAATAAAATTTTACCTATTTCTCTGAGTTTGTTATTTATTAAAAAAAATTATATTCTTTCGAAAATAACTTTTAACCTTTTTTTTTTTTTTTTTTAATAAAATTTGGAGTAAAAATCTATTAAAATAAATAAAATAAAGATTGAAGGCATTATTGAAAGGACGGGGAGTGGTAGCTGAGCGAGTGAGAGTGAGAGTGTCATTTTGGTAAATAAGAGCAATTCCAGAGATTGTTAATTATTGGATATTGTTGTTAGTATTTAAGGGTCCCATCACCAACCCTCCTTCCCATCCGTCATTTTCTCCGCTAATCTGTTACATGTTCTGGTTTGTTGTCTCTTACACTCTCTCTCTCTCTCTCTCTCTCTACTCTCTCTCTTACACAGCAGCCTTGATCTTCATCATCACTCACACCCACACGCACCAACGCTTACATTACAACCTCCATTTTCTTCTAGATCTGAATACGTTCTTGCTTCTTCCAAGATCTGGTCTCCTGTTTTTTTTGTTTCTCTCTCTCTTTCTTGCTTTCTTTTGCTGTTAATGCAAGTGGTGCGCCTCTCTTTCTTTTCCTTTTCTTTCGTTTTTCAATGTGTTGTTCCGTTTCCTGGAATGTGACTGGCCGAATCTGGAAATGGAGGAGATCCGTGTGTTCTGGATTCTTAATTCTCTGAAATTTAGGGTTTAGGATCGCTTGCTTCTCGTTCTGTGTTTCTTGTTCTTGATTTTGGTAATGAGGAGGTTTTTGTGGTTTCTATCTCTCTTGAGCAGTTTTTTTTATAAAAAATCTTTGGTGTATTATGTTGCTCGTGCTAATCGCAGATCTGAAACTATAGTACCACGAATAACAGCTTCGAGGAGGATTCTAAGTAGCCATTTTTCTCTGCTGCTCTTTTATTTTGTGGGCTGTCAGATATTACGAAGTCTGTTGCTCTTGGTTTTATGAAACGTAGGGTTTAAACTTGGTTGTGATTCTGCGTTTTGTGTGAATATGAGAAATGAGAGATTTGTCATTCTTTTGTTGACTAATTTTGTTGATTGGGGGAGTGAGTTCAGTCTTGATCTTAAAAACTTTCTTGTTGTTTATTTTTGGGTTGTCTTGTGCGTTAGGAGGGTTTATTTGGTCGATTTTAGTGCGTTTGAATGAAATGAACTACTTTCTTAACTGATGGGTGAGATGAAATGTAGGTTGAGTTTATGAATACACATATACACACGACATGCACAGACATACATTTGTTAAGAAATTGTTTTGGTGCATTGCATGGTTTCATATACAGAGCCTAACTTGCAGAGTTTGATTGTTGCAGAAAAAGGTGTGAATTTAACAGATTCGTGAATGGCGGTGGCAGATATTCAAAATCCTCTTCAAGGAGAAACCACATGCGGTACCCTATTGCAGAAACTGCAAGTAAATAAATCACTCTGTTGGTCTTTTGATTCCTCTTTTGCGTCTAAAATTTTTCTATTGGACTCACCAAAGATTATCTTAGGAAATTTGGGATGAAGTTGGTGAAAGTGATAAGGAACGAGATAAAATGCTGCTTCAGATAGATCAGGAATGTTTGGATGTCTATAAAAGGAAAGTTGAGCAAGCTGATAAGTCCAGGGCAAAGCTTCTGCAGTCTTTATCAGATGCAAAGCTTGAGCTTTCGAGTCTTCTATCTGCTCTTGGTGAAAAAAGTTTTTCTGAATTTGTGAGTAAATACTATGTGGCTGTTTATATCTGAAAATGCTGATGCATTTATCTTGTGATTCAATCAAGTTCTATTCTCTCTTTTAATTACAGCCTGAGAAGGCTTCTGGAACAATCAAAGAACAGCTTGCAGCCATAGCACCGGCTCTTGAACAGCTCTGGAAACAGAAAGAACAGAGGGTTAAGGAATTTTTTGACGTTCAATCAGAGATTCAGAAGATATGTGGGGAGATTTCTGGGAGTTTAAACCTTGGCGAGAATCCACTGGTAGATGAATCTCATCTTTCGGTAGAAAAGCTCGACGAATACCATTGCCAACTCCAGGAACTGCAGAAAGAAAAGGTGAGGCTCTAGACAGGGGAGCAATCTATTTATTTTTGTCTTTCATCAAGCTAATCTTCGATCATTTATTCAAATATGAACAGAGTGATAGATTGCACAAAGTTCTTGAATTTGTGAGCACCGTGCATGATCTCTGTGCCGTCCTTGGAATCGATTTCTTTGCTACTGTAACTGAGGTTCACCCAAGCTTAAATGACGCAACTGGTGTGCAATCTAAAAGCATTAGCAATGACACTTTATCCAAGCTGGCAAAGATGGTCTTAGCACTGAAAGAAGATAAAAAGCAGAGGCTACATAAGGTAAATTTAATATTCTGGACTTGTTACTATAATGGTGAGTTTGGGGCACTTTCTAGTTTAAACACTTCTTCAAAATGTATATTTTTTTTTTCTTAAAACACTATTCATTCAAATGGTTTAAATTAAAATATTTGTGTGCTTTTTTAATCAAAATTTTATTCGTTGACCTACATCTTTAGTGATTCTACAAACACTATATTACTATGAGGTGATCCTAAAGTGATTTAAGATCAACCACTTTATAATCATCACTCTTTGGAAATTCAACTTTAAAATGATTCTTCAAAAAATGATTTCAAAAGTGATTTCTATTTGTTACCAAAGATTTTTTAATAAACACTTTAGACCCTTCAAAATCACTTAAGAAGTTAATCCAAACGCACTCTAAGAAGAGAATTTCAAAATTACATTTTCTTTCATTCCCTGCTGCAAAGTATGAAAACATGCATTTATATGGACGTGAAGCATATATGTTAGTATCGATCATGTTTTATCATTTAAAATGATATTTAAATGAACTTTTTATGGTATTGTATCTAGTTTAAATGAACTTTTTTGGAGTTTGAACCAATGCATGGGCTACTCTACGATATTTCAGTGGCACTTGTATGTATCAGTTGTTGGGATAAAGATAATCTTTAATTTGTACATTCTCATGCGTATTAGAGCTTGCACTATTTCGACCTCTAGATTATGAGATGTGATATAGTCAAGGGCGGAGTACTATGTATTTTTCCGTTTAGTTCTTTGTGTGGAGATTTTTAACTTTGTATTATTTTGTATTGTGTCATGTACAGCTTCAAGAATTGGCAACTCAGCTGATTGATCTTTGGAATTTAATGGACACCCCCTCGGAGGAAAGAAGTTTGTTTGACCATGTCACGTGTAACATATCAGCATCAGTAGATGAAGTGACTGTCCCAGGGGCGCTTGCTCTCGATTTGATTGAGCAGGTATTTGAGTCTTCTGTAGATATCTTGCTGTAAATTAATAGGTGTGGCTGTTGACTCTATTTGTCTACTATTTGTTCTAAAGGCTGAGGTGGAGGTTGAGAGGCTTGATCAACTCAAGGCTAGTAAGATGAAGGAAATTGCATTCAAGAAGCAGTCTGAACTTGAAGAGATATTTTCTCATGCTCACATAGAAGTAGACCCAGATGCAGCTCGAGACAAAATTTTGGCACTGATTGATTCTGGTAACGTTGAGCCTGCTGAATTACTGGATGACATGGACGATCAAATAGCAAAGGCCAAAGAAGAAGTTCTCAGCAGGAAAGAAATATTGGACAAGGTTGAAAAATGGATGCTAGCATGTGAAGAAGAGAGCTGGCTAGAAGACTACAATCGGGTACTTGTCCTTTCTTGCTATCATATTAAAAATTAGCTAACCCCAAGTAAAATTTTTTATTATGTTGATTTGCCAATATAAATTGTGAGATCCCACATCGGTTGAAGGATAACGAACCATTTTTTCTAAGGGTGTGGAAACCACTTCCTATCAGACGTGTTTTAAAAACCTTGAGGGGAAGCCCGAAGGGAAAACTCCAAGAGGACAATATCTGCAAGCGGTGGGCTTGTCCTAGGAAACTCTTGCACTTGTTGCAAGTTCATAATTTTCTGTAGAATTGCCATTTTGTAATTCCCTGGTCATGGGTTTTCATTATATCCGATTTTTTTTATTTTTTTATTTTTTTATTGACTGAACATGCTGGATGCTTGATATATATATATTTTTTTTATTGTACATAGAACCTTATAATATCCAAAACTTGTTCTAGTTTTCAATGGCAACAGGATATGAAAGCAGCCATGGAAGATTCGTTTCTACATGGCTGCAGTTACTTGGTATAGTTACAGATCTAAAATGTTGACATGGTTTCCAAAGCTGTGAGATCTCACATTGATTTCAGAGAAGAACTAGTGCCAGTGAGGACGCTGGGCTTCGAAGGGGGGTGGATTGTGAGATCCTACATCGATTGGAGAGGGGAACGAGTGCCAGTGAGCATGCTGGGCTCTGAAGAGGGTGGATTGTAAGATTCCATATTAATTGGAGAGGGAAGGAAACATTCTTTATAAGAGTGGAAAACTCTCTCTAGCAGACGCATTTTAACAACCTTGAGGGGAAACTTTTAATTTCAAATTTACTTTCTTACGATGGTCGATAAAAGTTCAAGGATTGGCAACTCATGCATTATGTCTGTTTCACAGTTGAAATTTTGAATGCCACTCCCAAAGTCTGAGACTAAAATGTGTATGCTACTTTTAATTTTTCAAAAATACTGTAATAGTTGTCTGAGTTTTGTGTTTTGTTACACCATTGGCATCACTTTGCAGGATGATAACAGGTATAATGCTAGCAGAGGGGCTCATCTGAATCTCAAGCGAGCAGAGAAAGCTAGAATTCTGGTCAACAAAATTCCAGGTTTGTTGTAAATACGTATGAAGACTTTCAATATTCTCCTTACGATTCCCTGGATACTAATGCTTTCCTCTTCTTGATGGCTTGGTTATGTAGCTCTTGTTGACACTTTGATTGCCAAAACTCGGGCTTGGGAGGAAGATCGTGGCTTATCGTTTATTTACGACGGCGTTCCTCTCCTTGCTATGCTAGACGAATATACCATGCTCAGGCATGAAAGGGAGGAAGAAAAACGACGATCGAGGGTAAATTGTTTCAATCCCTTTGATACTTATGAACTTATTTGTGTACATGTTACTTTTGTTTGACGTTGCACCACATGAGCACGTTGGAATTTGGATAGCAAAATGGGTATGGGAAATCTTAAGCTACCTCTTCTTTTCCCTTAATAGCCTCTTACGGTGGACATTGCAGGACCAGAAAAAATTCCACGAACAACAAAGCACAGACCAAGAGGCCATCACCAATCCAAGACCTAGCCCTGTTCGACCCATTGGTACAAAGAAGGCAGCGGGGCCTCGTGCGAATGGAGCTGCGAACGGAACACCTAGCAGCAGACGGTTATCACTGAATCAGAATGGATCTAGATCAATGAATAAAGATGGAAGAAGGGATAGTATGAGACCAATGACACCCGTGAAGTACGATGCAATCTCGAAAGAAGACTCTGCATTGCACTTTTCAGGTACGGAGCCTGTTTCATCCTCACCATGAGAATTGAGAATAGAAGAGAAGTACTCATAATAGCATCTGTAATATTTGTAGTTGCTGCTGTAGTGGGACATGTTCAACAAAATAACTATAGTTATGTAGTAGTTGTGTATGTTAGAAGAAGTTGGAAGGTTTGTGGTTCAATGTGAGTTATTTTGTCCTAAATCTTTGTTGTTTTGACTAATCTTAGTTCATTTACCCTCTGATTTTGTGATCTCTGTTTGGTATGGTTATCAGTTTCTTTGCTAATTAGTTCTAAAATACGTTCATTTTAATGTTAAACAAGACTTTAAAATGTTCTTAAATAGTCCCATTAAGAATCAGTTGCTTTGCCATGCTCTATCATAAAGAGTTATATGATTAGCATAAGGACATGAAATTCTCTTGTGTCAGCCAAAGTGTAGTAATGAGATTTAGTTTGGACAAGACAGCTGAGGAGGAATTATGGCAAAAGATCGCATAGAAAACGAAAGAAGATGTGCAGCCCAAATAGACCAATAGGAGACAGCAGATCTGGTATACCATAAGAAAGGGAAATGATTTATGCGGCCAGTTTGAATGCCTGAAAAAGTATAGTTTTTTTATGTAATGATTCACTTTTCTAACAGACTTGTGATTGAGACCACTTAAATGTAAATATACTATATTATTCTTAAACTATAAAGTTTAATTCTAAATCTCAAGGCTTAGTGGGTAATGATTGGTTCACCTTAACTGATATCATATATTCTCGTAGTTAGATTGATCGAGGCCTTAATCGACCTCGGAGTGTATCTACTTTTGGGAATTAATACAAATCTTAGGGAATTATCTAGACGTTTCTCCATGTCTATTCTATGGTTCTCATGGTATCATGAGTTTTGCAAAGGGCTAAGTGGCGAACCTTAAGTCAGTGCCAAGTTCTAGAGGGAGCAACCCTCATGCCTATAATCTACTAAGTATGTATGTAGTCCCTCATCTTGTAGGTTGGTTTGTGAAGCAAGAGCCCTACTAAATGGGCTTAGTTCATAGTACACTCATATCTTAACGAGTTTTAATTTCATCATGTTCTAAGTTCACCCTGATTTCAAGGCTCTACCTTATCAGGACCAATTTAGGTTGACCACTTGGTGCATAAGTAGACTCCTACTAATTGAGGTAGGTTCACTACTAAGATAAGCTAACTGACCTCTTGGTGCATAAGTAGACTCCTACTAATTGAGGTAGGTTCACTACTAAGATAAGCTAACTATCCGTAATAGTTCCTATATGACATCAACAAGAATAAGGGACTATATTTGGCTCTAATCATGGTAACAATCTAAGCATAGAATAATCTAAGATGTTCTTAAGCTGTGTAGCACTTAACTCGGCTTGTTAGGGCCTTCTAACAGTTTACGCAAATCTACTCTATACTACTTAAGTCTAGCATGTATGTATCCTATAGCCTAATTCTATCTCATAATGTCAAACATGATACTAATCTCGTTCACTAGTAGTCATGCTCAAACATATGAATAAAATCAATCATGCTAGCACAACAGTTCATTACACTTAGGAATTTATACACTTAGGAATCAAAAACTTAATTCAAGTCTGTAAGACCCTAAGTAAGGTTAGGGCATTCGAGTAAGTTTAAGGTGCCTAAAAAATGTTTAAGGGATGCAAGTGGAGGATCAAAGAGACTCCAAGAATGTTAGAGGCTTAAAGGAAGAGATTCTCAACACCCTAACAAAAATAGTAATAGTCAAATTTGTAATAGTATCTTGTCATGATCTAGATGACTGGGAGGACTTCACATCCAATGGCTGATGTTCAAAGTTGGAGTCGACAACCTCCTGAACGGATAAATTTTTTCAATGAAAATTCTTGAAACTTGAATTTAAAAATCAAGATTGTTCTGGATGATTCAAGATCGGTGTAAGCTTCTTCTATAAATAAAGAAGTGAGGGTAGTAATTTGGAGCAAGAAACGAGCCTTAACAATTCTCCAAACTCGAGAATGAAGCTCTTAGTTTTTGGGTCTCTCCCTCTTAGATTTCTTATAGATTCAAGAATACTGTGAATCATTTATCCTCAAATCAGTTGGTACACATTCTAAATAAGATTGCCCAACATGCTCAATACAGGGAATAAAATCAACCAAGGCATACTCAAAAACTCAAAGCATGTTCAAACTATCAGAATTCTCAAACATGCATAACAGAAACTATAAAACTATAAATTGTGCTAAACTGTAAACGGTACGCGTTTCAAGAACAAAAAAAAAAAATTGTAAATTGTAACATATAGCGAAACTGATTGCAAAAGAGGGGAAATCGGCCACATTAAAATTACCTTCTGGGGAGCTCCGTTTGATATCCAAAAATTGCTAAGCAACAGTCGGACTAGTGGGGAATGCTGGGGTAAACCAAAAAGGTTTGGGTAGAGCCGAATCTAAATGTTGGCTAGGTAAGCATCCTGCAGTAAGAGTGGTAGTTATGAACCTTGTAGACCATCCTCGTTGGGGTGGTGAACAGAGGGGCCCAATTGGTAGAAAAAAACCCACAACCCCTTGGGGTTATCTTGCACTTGAGAGAAGAAGTAGAAAAATGAATAAATATAGTGATAATTTTATTCTTCGTCGCACTAGTAAATAAGAGAGAAAATATAATTTTTTTTCTTCGTCTTTATTTTACAAAAAAAAAAAAAAAAAAAAAAAAAAAAAAAAAAAAAAAAAAAAAAAAAAAAAAAAAAAAAA